TGGAGCAGACCTGGCCCCCCACTTCAGTTATGCTACTCTGAACAGCAAACTGCTGACCCTGGAAATACAGGGAAGTGCAAAAAAAAAAAAAATAAATAAATCCACTGGGCTGCATCACTTTTTCCACTTTGCAGCTCTGGCCAAGATGAGGAGCTGCCCCTCAGGACAGGGAGGGGACACTGTGATGTCCCTGCTGCATTCCCAGCTCCCAGGGCCAAGCACTGCCCTGTCCCCATGCCTGCTGATATCTGCCCACACCTGCTCCTCTCCTACCCACCCTGCTAAAGTTCCTGGGGGTGTTTTGCAGTTCTGCCCAAATTCTGGACTGGTAGGAATTTGGAAACCGGTCCAGCAAACCCCACCCCCACACTGGTTTTCCCAGCGGGGTTGATCCTGCAGCAGCTCCCGCGTGTCCCAGGGAACAGCCAGATCTGGGAGCGATTGGGATTTATGTTCCTGCAGCAGGGGAAAGGAGGAAGGAATAGGATTGCTGTTCCTCTAGGACGCTGGTGAGGTGTTTAGCAAAGTTTGGGATCACTTTGTTTTCCTGGGTTTTCCCTTGGCTACATCCGACTCCTGCGAGCTGCAAACAACAAAGTTCAAGAACTTCTGGGGGAAGTTTGGTACAAAGCTCCAGGAGCAGGAGGCCAAGTAGGAAGGGCTGCAGCTCTGCTGCCAAGTGGAGTTTTAAAGGGACACAAAGAGCCGTGGGATTCCTCAGGGACTGAGCAGCCTGGAGAGCCTGCTCTGGTCCAGCACTCACACAAACAGCTCCCCACGGGCATCCAGCCAAGCTCGGGCTGCTCACCCTGCGAGACATCCCTGCAAGTTGTGATAACCTCCCTTTGCTAAGGAAAACTGTGGGGAATCTGATCCTGCTACCAGCTCCCTTTTCTGTTTGTTTTAGAGAAAAGGTATTGCCAGCCTGGGAGAACCAAACGCTGCAGATGCTTTACACAGCCCAGCAGTGCATGGGATAATGAGCATTTCTTTATGCTACAGGATTTTCAAGAATGCCCAAATCTCCAGTCAACATCCATATCAAAGGGGGAGCAATCCCAAAAGTCCCTGGCTGAACAGGTCAGGGCCTGCCCACAGAAAATGCAAAGGATTTTATTTAAGGTGAGTACAAAGAGCAGCACAGAGCTGCAGTCTCTGTGCCAGCTGTAGGAGTTTGTACCCACACGGGAGAAACCCTGAGCCGCTTAAATTCCCCAAAAGGCCCAGCCAGGCAGGGTTACCTGCACGGTACAGCAATCCCTGCTTTGATCTCCAGGAAAAGGCTCTTTATTCAAAGTCCCTTTTGCCATGGCAACCGTGGGGCTGGGAAAGGAGGGAGAGGGAGACAATTCCCCAGGGCTTCCCTAGAAAAGTTGTCCCACCAGCAGCACAGTGGTTCAACACCTGGTTCAACAAACAAATTTTCATGAATTTCTAGAGATTCCTGCAGACTCAGTGCTGGAGCATCTCGCCAGGTTCCTGGGTTTTCTGCCCTGCTGGGCTGTCTGGGCACAGCCAGCATCCCCTGGGAGAAGAGCTTTCCTACAGGAAAGGTCAGGCTCTTCACAGCAAACAAAACTCTCCTCCCCTCTCATCTTATCACTGCTCCGGCTGGAGACACTCGGAAACAGCAGAGGGATTCAGCAGCAGCACATCAAAAGTTCCTCCCTTCCTCTGAGGTCTCAGTCTGGTTTTTGTTGTTGTTGTTTTGGAAGGGGGGAAAAAAAACCCCTCCCAAACACACAGCCCTTGAGAGGGACACCAAACACAAGGGCTGTTGGTTTTTTTCCCATGTTGTAATAATTATCAGTGAAAATTCTGTTCAAAGCAAGCAAAGCCCATTTCAGTCCCATTCCTAAGCCACAAATAACTTTAAAAAGTCCATTTTAAAAGCTGTGCTATACTGGGTGAGGGGGATTTGCTTCTGTGTTTTCAAGTCCTGCATCACACTGCAGGAAAAGAGATTTTAAAATGTGTCCCAGCCACGAGGACTCAAAGCAAACTCTTTAAAAAAAAAAAAGAATGAGAATCTCAGCTTTCATTTGGTGCCCCCATTTCCAGCAGCCAGGATTTATGCAAAAGAACATGAAATGCCACAGGGCTTGTAATAAAAATAAAATAAAATCCTGAAAGCTCCCACCAGGGCAGTTTTGCAGCTTCTCTGGGCTGTTTTCAACCAGCACAAGACTTCCTGGCCTCTGCCACGAGCAAAGAAAAGGAGATGGAGGGGGATGGAATGAGATAGGAGCTGCTGGCAGGGCACAGCCTCTCTGCAGAGGGTTTAAATGCCAAGAAAGTTCATTCTGGATGCTGTTATCCCTGCAGTTTTATTCCTGGGAACTCACCGGGATTCTCCAAGCCCTTGCTCACAGTGGGCTTTGCTCCATCCCACACAAGAACTGGGGTTTTCCTCCTTTTATACTTGATGCCAATCAGGTATAAAACCCAGGGGAATCCTCTGATTTGTGCTTTCCTTTCAGTGCTGTGGATTTCCGAGCAGCTCCCGGAGGATGAGCCACTTCCCCTTGCACAGAAAGGTTTTCTGCTCTGTAAATATTTCATGTCCCCTCCCGGCTGCCAGAGCGTGAAGCCAGAGCCTGGCAGAGGAGCCACGGGGAGCTGACACAGCTCAGGGGGACCAGGAGGGCTCCTCACACATTTTCCTTCTTAATTCAAGGAAAGAACAGCCAGACTGATTTAGGAAGAGCCCTGCTTGTGGCACTGAGCTGTGAATTATTCAGGAGCCCAAGAGCTGCTGCCACCCAGGAGCTTGGGCACATCTGGACCTGCTCACTTGGAATGTTCTCCTTCCATGCTGGGTTGTGAGGAGCAAGGAAACCACAGCAGGTTCTGGCTCCCCCAGAAGTTTTAGCCAGAGCCACTCTGAGAATCCAGGCACCCACCATGCAAATGATGCAGGAAAATGCTGGTTCAAACAACTGCACAGACAGAAATGAGGATGGGATGTGGGCAGAACAATAAAAGCTGGTGTTTATATTTAGATGCAGATTTTTCCCCAGCAGCACTGGTCACCGAGAAGAGGAAGGTTTTGACTTTAGAGAAAACCTGGTAAGGACTAAAAGCCTTGCAGAAATAAAACAGCCTGGCTCAGTGACTCCCCTCCAAGCCAGGAAAACTCTGCAGCATTAATAAAACCAGCCTGAGCAACGAAACACAAATGCTACTCCAATAATTAAATAAAGAGAAGGATCCCAGAACAATGGCTGGGGCTGTAGCGTGGATTTGACAGAATCTCAGATCCTGCCCTCATGGGAGAGCCCCAGACAGCAGGCTCTTGTTGCAGAGTTTCATTTTAGTAGGTCGGCAGCACTTGACATCACAAAGCACTCCCAGGACAAAGGCAGAGCCCAGGAACTCTGCAATCCAGTTTTCCCTCCAGGAAGGAAGGAAGGAAGGAAGGAAGGAAGGAAGGAAGGAAGGCAAAGCTTCCTATGGCAGGGAGGAGGTGAAAAGAGGGAAGGGGAGGGGGCTGATGTCTCAGCAAGGCCCACGTGGAGGAGGCAGCAGAGCAGGGAGGTGAAACCAAGAGAACAGGGGGGCAGATAAAGCAGCCTCATCTCTCACCCCGGCTCAGGCTGTGCTTGCCTTTTTACTTTAGCCCAGATTAATCCTGCTGCAGTTGCAATCCATCCAAATCCCAAGTCCTCTCCTAGGAGGGATGTTTGTCCTTCCTCTCCTTAGCACAGTACATATTTACACTGTCCTTTAACATATCCAGGGCTCAGAATCCAAAATACCAAGTGGACAACTCAGCTCCCTCGAGATCAGAAGACAGAGCAGAAACACTCCAGCACTCCAGGCTGGGTGTCCCAGAGAACTCAGGGGCTTTATCCATGGATTTTTAAATAAGCAGCCACGGGTTGACATTGCAAAAGGTGCTTGCTGAATCAGCCCAATAAAACATCCCTCTCCTGCACTGCTCACCCCAGGAATGAACCAGACAGGGATTGTGCTGGCCCTGTTGGCAGCACAGGCAGGGACTGGCAGCTCCAACAGCTCAGCTCACACAAGTGCAAGTCCCCAAAGCTGAGATCTCTTCTTTAACTCTGTTAAATGTACTCAGGGAGGCCACAGTGGTATGTGAAACATTAAAAACAGGAAGGAAAAAGCACCAGAGCTGCTGAACGCACCCCTTGCCGCTCTCCTGAATTCCTGCAGTTAAAGGAGGAGCAGATGAACTGGCTGAGGAGATGGGCTTGGAAATCCTCCTGTTCACCTGATTTCCACAACCCTGACACAGGCACAGAGTTATCTGAGTACCCAGGGGTTCATTCCCTCAGCCTCTCCATGCCCTGCACGGAGCACAGGAAGGTGCCTTTCACGCTCAGCTTCCTCTGCTGCCGGGCACTCAGAGAGAACAGCAGGCAGGGGAAATAAAAAATAACATATAAACCTGCTGGGCTAGGGGAGAGAGCTGCAGGAACCTGCTGTTCCAGCCCTTGCACCAACCCACTCCATTGCATTTTATGTCCCTGCACTTCCATAGCCACGGGAAATGGAGCTCTCGCTATCAGGTGCCTCTGAATTACAAGTGCTGAGCCACAAATCAGCCCCAAATCCAGAAAATCAGTTGGAAGAGTTACCCTTCCAGCTGGTGTTTTAAAAGAGGGGCTTTAAAAGAGAGAGGAACTTGTTGGTGATGCTTTTTCTACCTTTACAAACCCTTAATGGCAGAAAAAACACAACTCCAACTTCCCTGTGACGATGGCTTGGCCTTCCCTTGGGTTTTTACAAGCAGCTTTAGTTAGAAGAGAGTTTGGTGATAAAAAAGACAGCAGGGAAAATCCAGGCCCTGAGCACAAAGCGAGCAGGGCACAGCTCATGACTCATTTCTGATGTTCAGGCAGCTCCAGAGGTTTTGCTCCACCACGAGCAGCCCTTTCCTCTGTGCAGAGTGAGAACATCCCAGCCCTAGCCTTACCCAGAGTTTGCCATCCCAGTAGAAGGCTCCCAGCAGTTTGACAATGTGGGGGTGGTCACAGGTGGCCAGGATCTCAATCTCCACCATGTAATCCTCCAGCTCATCCTCGCTCTTGGTCTCGATGACCTTGGCAGCTGCCAAAGCGCCCGTCTCCTTGTTCTTGGCCTGGAAGGGAAGAACAGGGTGAGTCCAGAGAAAGCGAGGAACACAGAATTCCTGCTGCTCCAATTCCTGCTCAGCTTGGCTGGCCCCAGCCATCACACCAGAGGGAAAACTTGCAGAGTTTCTGCTTCCTAAAGCTGCCCACAGCCTCGCAGGGTGGCTGGATCCTCCCTCCAGGCTCCAAAGCCCAAACCACTTCCCACCACAGGCAGATGGAAACTTTTAGGAAAGGAGATGTAGCCTGTTGTTTGTAGCATGGGGGAAACAAAAAAGGAAGCAAGGAAACCTCAAAGTGTAGAAGCTCTCTGATGATATCACAGGTGAATTCCTAGAAATCCTGAGTATGCAGATAATCCAACCAAGAGCTATCTGAGAGTGCTGCCAGGTGGGGATGGGGCTCTGCTCCCAGGGAACAGGGACAGGAGGAGAGGGAACGGCCTCAGGCTGGGCCAGGGGAGGCTCAGGGTGGACAGCAGCAGGAATTTCCCCATGGAAAGGGAGCTCAGGCACTGGAACTGCTCTGGGAGGGTTGGATCCCCATCCCTGGAGGTGGCACTCAGAGCTCTGGGCTGGGGATGGGGCACAGCTGGGACTGGATGATGTTGAAAGCCTTCTCCAACCTCAGTGATTCCATGACTTTGTAAAACTCAGAGTCCAGCTGCACCAGGAGATGTGTCACACGTGGGAGAGGGCTGAGACAGGAGCTGCTGACTCAGGAGCATCCCAACATTCCCAGAAGTTCATCGAGTCAGCGGATTACGGCACAGAATTCCCTCCAGCTCACCCACAGCTCCCCACTGACACAATTCCAGCTCCTCCCCCTTTTTCCTTCCATCTCCCCCAGCCCAGGCTGCCTCTCCCCCAGGGAAACAATTCCCACTGTGGATGGAATCCCTGGAGGAGCCGGCCAAGCTCTGCTTGTGACCTTTCTTCCCACTCTCCAGTTTACATCTCTGTGTTTGGAAAACCTACGGGGGAGCTTGCAGGAGGATTCATTCCTGCTGTAAACACCACAAGCCCCTCTGGACAGCTTCACACAGCTTGGGTGACGCTATAACCACGTGCCAAGGGACAGGCTGGGGAGGGGAGGAAGGAATACTGTGAAAACGCTACAGCAGAGGGAGGAAAACGAGGGATCTCTGCTGTGTTTTGAAGTCTTGCTGCATTCCAGGAGCTGGCAGGGACAGCCATGTTCTTACCACAGGGGACAAATCCATTTCCAGCTGGGCTCATTGCCCAAAGGCAGGACAGCAGCTCCTGCTGGTTTCAGGAGAAATTAGGGGGTTTCTTTAGCTCAGCTTGGTTGGGCTCTCACCAAGTCACCACCAGATGCTCTCACACAGAGAGCAGGGCAGGGGGAGACGTGGAGGGAGCACGGGGAAGAGCTCAGCCCTTCCAAACGGGAGCAAGAAGTGCCCCACTGTGTTTGCTCTGCACTTAGGGAGCTGGGAGAGCTCCAACGAGGGGAAGTAAATATTGTGAGAAGAGGTGGGGCTTCCCCTGGAGCTTCGCTTCCCAGCGGCAGGGCCCCTGCCAGCTCAGCCCCTGCAGGATGCTGGGGCCCAGCAGGCACCTGGAAGGACCCAGGAGCAGAGCAGGGAGCTGGGCTGGGGGTCAGGGTTTGCAAACCAGGCTGCAAATTGTGCTGGGGGAGTGACCACAGCCCAGCCTGGCCTCGTTCAGTGCGTTCCTACATGCCCTGGGTGACCAGGCCAGTGACCAGAGCCAGCCTGGTGCCAGCTTTGCAGGTGGCCAGAGCAGAGCTACTGCATTTCTCCCCCGTGCTGAGCTGTCCTGAACAACACCCACCCTTCCCCATTCCCTTGTCCCTGAGCTCCAAAGGGAGCACTTTCCTCCTTCCACACCCCCCAGATGGCACGGGGAGGTCACAGCTTGGGCACCCTGGAGGAAATGAGAGCAGCATCTCCAAGGGAAAATCAGCTCAGGACATCAGCAGCTCCTGATGCAGCAACACTCCAGAGCCAGCAGCCTCACCCAGGCAGGGCTGGCCCAGGGACAGTATGAGCATGACCCTGTGGAAATGTCACTGCTTCCCACAGGGGACCACACTGACCCTTAGGATGGCAGAAGAAGCTGAAGTAGGAAGGAGACCTGAGATCATGGTGTGAGCAGGAGGTTTTGGAAGATTATCTCCCCTGTAGTGCAGAGAAGACACAGGTTACTCCACACAGCAGCTTTGGGACAGCAACACTGGTACAGGCCGGGCAGTCCATCCCTTCCTGAGGTGTCCATGGCCCTCCTGAGCCCAAATTCCAGCTGTCCTGCTCCTACCACACAAGGCAGAAGGAGATGCACCGTGCCTGGCATGGGCAATCCTGAACTGAGCCCAGCAAGTCACCCTGGGCACCATGAAAGCTTCGAAATTCCAAGGATCTTCTGCCCCTTTCTCCACATCTGCTCGTCCCCCAGCCCTGACAGCAGGCTACAGCCACATCCCAGCAGCCTCCCAAACCGTGAGATCCCAAAAAACTGCTGGATGCCACTTCCATCTTTTAGCTCCTCCACTCCTGGACATTTCGATCCCACAGATAATTTGTCCTTGGGGTGCTAATTAGCACCAAAAAGAGAGAATTAAAGAATTTGAGCAGACAGCTGCCAGCATGGTGCCCAGGAGGTGCTGCTGAACTCCAGGGGGGTTCATTACAGTCATTTAAACCCCCAAAATCCCCTCGTGGCCAGCAGCAGCCCCTGAGCAAGTCAGCAGTGACAGGTCAGTGCAGGATCAGGGCTGGAATGTGCATTCCACAAGTGTCACATAAAAGTTACTCAGTAAACCACTTCCAGAGAGCTGTGCCAGGAACCAAGGAGGAAACAATGCAAAGGATCTTCCTGGAGAACTCTGGAGCAAAGTGGGTGCTGGCCCTGCAATCACCACACACCCAGGAATCCCAGGAAACTGGGGATGAGTGGGATTGCTCCTAGAAGGCAGGGAGGGAAAGCTCAGCTGGTGGATTTGAGGGGTGAGAGGTTCCTGCTCAGGTGACAGGAGCGGCTGTTTGGCCTTTGCCTGTGAGTCACCCCGCAGCTATTGTGAAATCCCCAGTGTGACAAACACAGGAACTATTTTGAGCCCTGAAAGAACACATTGCCGGAAGGCTGGATGGTTCAGGATGGCCAGTTTCTAGGTGAGGCAGAGGAAAGCCCTGCCTGACCTCTCGGTGCCACAGAAAGGAGAACCGAGAGCTCCCCGGTTGCTCCATCTCCATCTCACCCTGTATCTTCCCGAGCCACGGGATCATCCTTCCCAGGCTATCGTGTCAGCATATTTTTGGTGTGAGCTCTCTGTCCCCTCCTTGCCAGCCTTGTCCCCGTGCCAGGAGAGCTTCAGATATCACCAAGTGAGAGCCCTAGAAGGAGCCTGGAGGTCGCAGGGATGCTGCATTTGGGGGGTGATAGCTGGGCCTGCCCCGCTCCTGCTCCCTCACGTGTTTCCCAGGGATTACAGAATGATTAATTGCCTCCTGATGAACCTGGCCTGAGCTCTCTGCACCAATAAACAAACACAGAATGGCCAGGCTCCAGTCAGTGCTCGTGGTGGTGTCAAATAATCCATGGGAGCTGGAATGGAGATGCCTCCCCTGCGAGGATAGGCTGAGAAAGCTGGGGCTGTTTCCAGCCTGGAGAAACCAAACTTTGGGGTGACCTCATTGTGGCCTTCCAGTGCCTGAAGGGCTACCAAAAACTGGAGAGGGGCTGTTCCTCAGGAATGGGAGTGACAGGACAAGGGGGAATGGCTTCACTCTGACAGGGCAGGGCTAGATGGGATTTTGGGAAGGAATTGTTCCCTGTCAGGGTGGGCAGGCCCTGGCACAGGTGCCCAGAGAAGCTGTGGCTGCCCCTGGATCCCTGGAAGTGCCCAAGGCCAGGTTGGACAGGGCTTGGAGCAGCCTGGGACAGTGGAAGGTGTCCCTGCCATGGCAGGGGTGGGGATGAGGTGACCTTCAAGGTCCCTTCCACCCCAAACCACCCCATGACTTCCAAGCCTAACAGACCCCCTAGAACCACTTCAGTTTGTCACCATAAATTAATCCCATTTGGGGCTTCAAACAAAGAGGATTAATTGATGAAATCCACATAGGAAATCCATTTGTTTGAAATGCTGGATTGGGGCCCTGGTGCCACCAGGCAGAGCAGTTGGTGACACGTGGGGAGGGGACAGCAGCACAGCCCTGGTCCCACAGCCCCCCACCCAGAGCACTGCTGCTCTGGCAGCTGGGACAGCATTTCAGCAAGAGGGAAGGGGAAGTGGCTTGTGAAACACCCCAAAAACCGTTAAAAAAACCCAAAAAACAACTTTAAAAAAGCAGAAATGCCTTCCTCTGGTTTTATGAGCAAAGGGCAGAGAGAGCAGCCACATCAGAGAGCTCAGCTACAGTCTCGTTCTCTAGGTATAAGAGGAACACAAAAAACAGTAAATTAAATTAATAAAATAATATATTAAAAAATATAAAGTATATATAAAAATAAAATAAAAATAAAATAATAAATAATTAAAAAATTAAAAATTTAAAAACCAAAAATGGCCAAAGCATAGCACAAACACCTCTCCTGGCTTTAAAAGCTCAGCAGTGGCCCAGCAAAGGGAGGCAGAGATGAGAAGCCCACAGAGCAGCCACAGCTCCACGTGATGTTCCAGACCTTGCACCCAAGGAGCTGCAGAGGCACAGAGAGAGGGTTTGGGGCTGCTGTGCCGTGTTACAGCCACCCACAGAAACCAGCAGAGCTCCTGGGCCTGCCCTGAGCAACGTGCAAATGAGCAGGCAGGGTTTGAGGAGAGGGAAGTTCCACATTCACCCAGCATCTCCAAAATTGAAAGCACCAAACTTCCAATCACGGGTCCCTGGAGGAGCACGGCGCTCCAAGTGAGCATTCCTGAGCTCTTCCTTCAGACAATGCCACAACATTGGAAAAAGTAAATAAAAAAGAGGGGGGGAAAAAAGCCAGCCAGCCAGTTCTGAGTTTCCTAGCAACTTCTTGCAACA